TTACTCTTTCTTTTTTATTCATTTGTGCTGAGAAATACCTCAGTTTTATACTGTGGTATAAATTAGATATAAAATCTAACTATATTTTAATATAACTCTTAATAAAAGAAAAAGATAACCTGATTGAACATACAGTACAGTAGAACACAAAGACAAAGATCCAACAATAAATACAATTATGAAATAATTATGAAATAATTATGGTGGCACCTCCTCCAACTTCATCTAGACATTTTCCATAACTATTAATTAGTCTCTTGCATCGGCTTTTAGGCATTTTGACCCTTTCTTCCTCATGGAACTGCTCTAATTTAGTGATATTTGAGGGTCCAGCCATAACATTTCAAATGAGTTTAGGTCTGGACTTTCACTTGGCCAATCCGAAATCCAAACTGCCTACTTCAGCTATTTGGTCATAGGTCTGCTTGTATGTTTAGAATCATTTTCATCCTGCTTCACCCACTCTTGGCTCAGCATCAGCTGATGCATCGATGGCCTGGCATTCTCATCCAGAATTTGCCGATTCAATGCAGAATTCATGGCTATATTATTAATATCATAGCACACCAGATCCTGAAGCAGCAAAGTAGTTCCAAACCATGATCCTCCAACTACCATGGTGATAGCCAAAATTATGATCTCCTGCTGTTGGGTTGTGCTCTTTGTGTAGTTACAATAAAGTGCCCAGTAAAAGTCTCAGATCTGCCAAAGAGCAACTGAATTATCCACAAGACTACTGCAGGAAAGTTTTTTGAACAGATGAGTCAACCATTTAACGTGTTAGGCACAACAGGAAATGATTTGTGTGGAAAAAAATGAAGCTCAGCAAGGGATGTGGCACAGCAGCTTCTTTTGGCTTGAAATGTGCTTTCCTGTAGTGTTGATGTCTTTAAATTGTTGAAACTGAATTAAAATATTAACCAAATCTGCTGTCTCCTCCATCAAAGGTAAAGGTGTGAGGTAATTTACAACGGCCATCTTTCTCAGGGCACAAAACACTGAAAAGAAGGTCCAGTCTGCTATTATTGTACAGGCCCCAAGAATCAATAGACCTACCACTTGGGTCATAGCCACTATTTCTGACAAGACGGGCCATTACTGTAGAACATATTTTTTATAATATGGACACTTAGCTTCCTTCAAAAATAATTTAAATAAAAGTTAAGAAAAATGCACAACCACGGCACTTACCTCCCTCAGATTAAACAATAATTGTTTAACAGAAAATATATGAGTAACAGGGAATATACTGTAATTTAAATAATACTGAGGGAACAGGTAGAATAAAGGGAAATTGACAATCTATGCTGCTCTGCATTTTTCAAAGGCAAACTGTAGACTACACAAATATGAATTTTTCAATATTGTGTGCTAAACATTAAAACATAAAATACGGTTCCATACAACATGCTAAACATAGCATTTAACTAATGTGTAAAAGCAGATTTTATGACAGGATTTAAAAGTACTGACTTGCAAGTTCTAATATGGGCTGAGGGATCACTCCATAGCTTTGCAGCTACAGGACAGAACGCACTGTCTCCCAGTGTTTGGAGCTTCACATTAGGAGCTGACAGAAGGTCAGAGTGCCAAGACCGCAGATGACTTGTAAATGTAAAGGGGAGATTGTTCAGTTATACAGTCAAGAGCCAAACCATTCCCGTCCTTAATGGTGAGCAGCCGTATTATAAATTTTATTTTGAAATCTGCAGTGTGGTACTTTAAGCAAATCAAGAGCATAACAAAAAGACTGTAACAAATCTCCAAAACATTCAGAAGTTTTTTTACAATGAGTGATGTACTCTAGCACATTTCTAGCACATGCAACCCAGTCATTTACTACCAGTCAATACCTGATGACAGACATAGGGTCACCTCTAAAGAAATACAGACATATACTGTATATACAGTATACAAACAATTTTGGCACTGCAGAAATTCCTAACACTTTATTAACCTTCAATAGCACAATTTAAATAGACTTGTTTTTCTTCTATGCATTACAACAGCTTTAACAGCACAATAAAATAACTCTTAAAATAAAGCTTTTTTTGGGACCCCAAAATTAAAGCGGTGAAGCAGGTGGGATTACCAGTGTACATGGTATCATTCCGTTATCTCCATTTCATTCAAAAAAGATGGTCTACCTGCATGTTTGGCACCCAAAGTGTTACAAGAGTTTTTATAGCAGTTTTTTTTGGCATCAAGAAATAACTGCAGTGTGCTCTCATCATTCGTGTATATTTCACCAAATAAAAAAAGCATAACATTTAAAATCTTAAACAAAATGCCTAAATGTTAAATCATAGTGGCAAATGCCTCCGAAATTTCATATTGTTCAACTATTTCTGGTATCCACAAGTTAAAATAAACAGAAGAAAGGAGGTCCTGAGGAACAGCAGTGAGATTCTGTATCCTAATATAACTGGTTGTGCTAGTATACATTTCTAGTATCATTTCCCCCAGTAGGAAATAACTGAAGACTAGAAGTTTATAGAGGGAGTCTCAGTAAGCAGTACTCATCCAGAGTATAGGTGTGTACAACATTAGGACAGATAGGGCAAATCATTACAGAGAGAAGACTAATATTAAGTACAAAGACGATTGGAATTTTGGCTACTAAAATAAAAATCCAAGAGGGACTCCAGCAATTACAACACAGATCTCAGACACTCTACAGGAAGTTGTAGCCTCACCTCAGAAAAAAATAACTAAGGTTGTGGTGCTTTCTCAACCCGTTATACTGTATAAACACCACGCTGCTTATTTTAAGCATGTGATCAATAGTGTAATAGGTTAAATGTAAGTATGAACAGTTTTACAGAGAGAGTAAGGGTCTCAGATAACCACATTTTTTTTTTCATCTCCTAACTTTCTTCTCCCCTCCTCACCGGACTCCTTGACTTTCAGCTACTTTTTAATTGGAATGGTTGTTTCTCCCTTTTGATCTTTAACCATTCTGTGTCAGTTTAGCCCTGATCACGGTTTTCACAAAAACTGATGCTCATTTTATTTACTAAATGATTCCCTTCTCAGAGCATGAATTGTACAATACATAACCATTTGTTATAATCTTCCAAGCATCCAACTGGCCATAAGGACTATGCATAGCAAAAACTGGAGGGGGCTGAGGGAGGTCTCATTTATGGCAATTCAAGTTCACATTTATGAATAAATTAACATCACTGCTATTATTAGTGGTGTACAATACCTAGGGATGCCCACTCTCACTGGCCCAACACAGTTGTTAATTAACAGCTGTTCATCTAAAATTTTCAATAGTACTGACATAACTACTGTACAGTATGTTATTAACCAAATCCAAAACGTAACTGGTACTGCACTGGTACAAAAGTAAATCATCTTGTATTGTATTGAGATCTGCAGAAAATCTTAGAAGTGAAAAGGGAACTGTTTTGCTTCTTTACTCATTGCAGGCCTTACTTTGCTTATTTGTGACATTCTCTATTTTATTTCACTTTCTAAGAGACAGGTTTCACAATTCCTGAAAGCCCACGATGTGCAAAGGCATACAGTGACTTTCCCTTCTTCTATGATGAATTTGAAAAGTGAAACGCAATGACAAAAAATTAAGCATTTCAAGGCAAAAGTAGCAAGCGTCCTAATAATTTAGTTTACTACACAATGATCTGAATATACAGATCATGTATACACTTTTTGTTGAAATTATCTATCAGCAGCAATTGTAGACTATGATACGGTTTTCACATGATTTTAGTTCACAGTAAGCTTTAAATGTATAATTTCCATTAATTCAATGTTCACAATATGACTTAAAAGGCAATAAATCTTTAAAATACTGGAGACAAGAAAATAGCTGTGTACCTCATGGGTGGTCATTATTCTAATCATATCCTAAATGTATCATTCCCTTTACTACACTGGCCATGAACATGAGTAAACCCACTCAGAGTAAAACAAATTACACTTTAAAACGTTTGCTTACAATTCATCAGAAAATCGATACTGCAAGACACAGGTTACATTTTCCACGTTAAAGACCATTTCTTTTTATTAACTAAATGAGCTTGCCTTGCAAAATATCACAGCAAATGGACATGTACAGTACGTTTATAAGGGGTCTAAAAATTACGTAGAACCTCAAGCGCACTATGAAAAAAATACAGCAAAATTGTTTTGTTTTTTCATATCTCTTTTAGTTAAAAGAAGGCCATTAAATAATATTTTATCACCGAAACTGCTCCTATAGTAAACTGCTGCTAAAGGCATAGGATGTTACGCATGGTCAATATGTTAAATACCTAACGTGCCGGACCAAATGGGCTCGAATTTGGAACGGAACGTTGTTTCCCTACAGCTATCTTGAAGGGTTACACAATAAGGTCAACACCACCAGGGCTATATATCTGCCCTACCAGAGACGAAATCAGCCCCTCTCAGTTCGAATAAAGTGTTGAGTAGAACATTTACTCCACAATGGTTAAAATTTTAATACATCAGTGCATTGCAGATAGAAAAAATATGAAAAATTCCTGTATTATCAAATGAAGGTAACAACAACAGAACTGCAATTAGTTTTCTATGTTAGGAAGTGTTAGGAATTTCTGATACAGAAGGTTATGTTACCATAGTTGTTGCGATTATGTAAATCTTACATATACTACCATCAGCAGAGCTCAGCTTCGAAAAAGGAGCATTCTTTGATAAATCAGACGTTGCGTTAGCAATTTTGTATCTTCTGCATGCTTGAGAATCGTCAAATAATACAGTACTTTACGGTTAATGTAACGTCTGCGTTTACAGTTACAGACTGCAGTGCTGCTGATGTCTAATGGTATCTTGTGCATTGCTTGCATACCGATATATACCAGCAATGCTCAGAACTGATATAAGACGTTTAGATTTATGTAAGAAATTCTAGCTTTGTCTATTGCCGTGAAAGAAAGCAATCACCATTCATCAATTAACAAAAACTTTTTAAAAATGTAAATACAAATCTCAATGTGCCAAATGCTTACCTGTAACAGCAGCCGCGCCGTCAAATGAAACTCGTTTGGTCTGATCATTACAGTAAACAGCTGATCCAAATACTGCAGAAATGATGAGCCCACGTAACAGTAGAGCTTTAGTCTGAGAGAAGTAACTCATTGTGAAGAAATAGCTTGAAAATCCGTTCCTCTGGGGAGGGAAAATTTGTTACTACGCAATGTATCAGCGGTGAATCCGCAGGGTCAAGAAACCGTATATGCTCACCGAATGCTGCTTCAGTAGAATTAGTATGAATCAAATAGCTAGATGGAAGGTAATTCACACCAGATGCGTTACATAAAATGTATTGGTTTCAAATGGTCGCAGTATAGCTGACAAAAAATACCAGATCATGCTGATAAGAAAACAAACACCCTATATGAAAAGTTAAGAGTGTTAAATGTAAACATCTTTTTAATATCAAATAAAAAATATGTTTTGTGATCGGAACGGCAAAGAAAAATAAGACTTTGAAAACACAAATGAACAAAAGAGGTTATATTATTCCAGTGGCGTACTTCAAAAACGTGAAATGGTTTTCTTCAATTACTATCGTCAGTGATACTATGAAACGATCGAGGACTATCAGACAAACTTGAGCGGTGGTTCTTAACTTAAAAGTACAAAAATGTGGAATAGAAGTCTAAAAATAAATAAAAACGGATCCTTGCTGTCAAAACGTTGATAGATCCAGCGAGCTGACAGTGTAGATTCCTTATCCTTATGACTTTATTAAGACAAAATAGTCTTGGTATTTCCACAAACAGTATGCAAAGCTCCGTGGTGTTTTTAGCATATTGAACACAGAGTAGGATACAGATCCGCCTCCTCAGTTAAATGATTATACCGGATCCTCTGCAAACAGACCAGGAAAACGCAATTGCTTCACTAATCCTGAATCAAACCTTCGATAAACATAAGTCCGTGTCTAAACGCAGACGTCCAAAACCTCCAACCACTTTTGAGACAGAAAGTTTGTTATAATTTCACGTCTTCAGGTGTCCCATCTGCCCCTCTCGAGTCTTTGCTGTAGGCTGTCTGATGCAGAACGAAGATTGTGAGGCGGAAGTCAATATGCAAATCATCTTGACATCAGCAGCAAGAATTTATTCTGCCCCATGTGGCAGTCTATTTATTAAAAAGCTTTTAATAATTGCTATTGATACTTATAATTCTTACAAATCGAAACAACATTATGCAGACTGTGCTGCAAAGTAGTTGTTTTCTGAGCCAAAAAAACACAGGAGGAATCATAGCATGTCGAAAAAAACTGCATTATTATGTAAATCTGAGCAATATTCTTAAAAGCATTGCGTTTACATTTCACAATTTTATCACTCACGGGTGCATTTGTAACAGCCCTTTCTAGCATATACTGTATACCGATGAATCGCGGAACAGGAGCCCATACTAGTTTTTCTCTGTTTTAGCCGGTAATTGGTTAGATTTTCTCAACATGTCAGGATGCGATTGGTTGTCAGGTTTCATTGTTCATACGTTTCAAAACCTAGACGCGGGAAAAAAAATGAAGCTTGAAGGCATAGTAGTTTATGATCGGAAATAACAGGTTAGCACACTATTATAGAAAGGAGGTTTCTGGAAACCTATTCAGAGAACCTCATTGCAGTAGACAAGGTGAAGGATGAATAAGGTAACTAGAAAGTGCAAAAATCACAGTCTGAACAGTAACAGAGAACAGTAAAGTCCCAATTCAACGAAAACTATAATTAGGGTAAATTCAACTGTTAATAAATGCCAACTGAACTGCAGAAGGTATTCATTAAAGAGAATGCTTGCAGATCGTTGTTTATAAACAAAATAGAGGCATAACGCAAAAGTGCATTAAAATCAATCAATCTTTTATGTTGTGTAGTGAAAAAAGTGCAACAAAATAATAGCCTGGGGAAAAAACAAACAAAAGTCAGATAAAGAGAATTACAATTTACCTATGCTAAATGTGAAAGCACTCATAAATAAAACTATTATTTTTAATTTCAACATAACTTTTGTGAAGAAAGTCATTTTTTTATTTAAAAACAGAATTTTAACTTGAGCAGCAGAAACAATATCTTCAATGCTGACAATGTAGCACCTTCTACTTTGATTAAATTGCAGTGACAGCTGTCATTAATATCTTCATGATATTTGATCACTTGCAGAGTCTGAAGATCATCAAAGCTAAAGTTGTAAATGTGCAGTTTTGCAAAATCCATTTTTTTTCATTGGCTTCAGTGCCTTTAAACTTATTAATGTATAATTTATCATATTTAATATTTATCAATTTGTCATACTGTATGTGTAAGAACATTATAATTAAAATAAATAAACACAGACCCATCTCCCTGCAAAGGTGTTAATTTTGTGTTGGCTTTGCTGGGAAAGATAAACAATCATGATGACATTCTTAATACAGTATATTCACTATCAGGATGATTCAGAGACCTTTTGATGTTAAGAAAGATACAAGATACAGTATACCCACAGTTTGGGAATTTCAACTAGGCTTTATTTGTAGATAGAAAAGTTGAAGGACATTTTGCTCTGGAACAAAAACAATAAAAAAGCTGTCCTGAAATGGATAATGGAAAAGGGGAGTATTGTTTCATGTTTTTCAGTTTCATCCCACTCATATACAGTGGATATCAAAAGTCTCTTATTGAGTCCTTATTGAAATTTCGGCTTTGTTGATGCAAAGTCTGAAATCAAGACAAATCACGTCAGACCTATTTTTCATAACCTTTAATAAGATTTTGTAACCAACAATATTTAACTGAAAAACAAATGGATAAGTTATAGGAAAAATAATAAAAATAACAAAAAAACATTCAATGTCTTTAACTAATAAATTAACTAATACTTTGTGGAAACACCTTTTGCTTTGATTACAGAGGTAGATCTGTTTGAAGAGGTCGCTATCAAATTAGCACACATGGATTTTGCAATTTTATCCTACTCTTTAGGTCAGTCCAAAGATTTTCTATAGGACTGAGGTCCAGGCTCTGACTGGGCCAGTTCTGGACATTGATCTTCCTTTCTTAAGCCATTTCTTGGTTGAGTTGGCTTTGTCGTTCGGATCATTGTTGTGTTGAAAAGTGAAATTCTTCTTTAACTTCAGCTTTCTGGCAGAGGCAACAGGTTTTGCACCAAAATATCTTGATATTTGGAGCTATTCATTTCCCCCTCTATCATGACTTGTCCCCACTGAAGAAAAGCAGCCACATATCATGAAGCTGCCACCACCATGCCTGACAGTAGGTACTGTGCTCTTTGGGTGATGAGTTGTGTTGGCTTTGCGCCAAACATATCTTTTGGAATTAAGGCCAAAATGTTCTACCTTGGTCTCATCAGACCATAAGACATTTTTCTACATGGCTTTGGAAGATTGAATGGGTCTTTTTGCAAAACGTTTATGAACTTTGATGTTCTTTTTTTATGAGAAATGGCTTCGTTTTTTTTGCCACCCTACCCCACAGTTCAGACTTGTGGAGAATGTGTGAATTGTGTGTCATATGCAGGAAGTGGCCAGTTACTGCCATAATTCCTACAGCTCCTTTAAGGTTGCTGTTGTTCTCTTGGTAGCCTCCCTGATCAGCTTTTTCCTTGCCCGGCCATCGATTTTGGAGGGATATCATGATCTTTGCAATATCCTCGTGGTGCCATATTTCCTCCACTTCTTAATGATGGTCTTCACAGTGTTCCATGATACATGTAATGCCTTCAAAATTATTTTATATAACTTCCCCAATCTGTACCTTTCAACAATAAGATCCCATAGGTCTTCTGTTAGCCCTCGTGGACCATAGTTATCTATGCACTATACAACCAAGAAACCTTCAGGCAAATTTTAAATATCAGAAAATGAATTTTCATGTAATCATTCTATATTACATATTTTAGTCTGGATTTTTTCTAGAACAGCATAGTTAATAGATATTAGTAGGGGTCCATATTATTGAGTTTTGATGATTTGCGAACAGGTAATATCTCACTAAAAATGTCTGGTGCAAGTCATGATATCTTTATGTATTTTAACATAATATGTAGTACATTTAGCAGAATTTCACTTTGCTGAATTCAAGCCTTACCGCACTTCCTTTGAAACAGAAAAGTCTTTATATTATTAAATAAAGAATTTTGAGTAAGAGACAATATTATGGAAAATAATGAATATATACTAGAAATAATTATGCAATTAAAAACTCAAAAACTAGAATATATTAAATACTATAACTTTATTAAGGAAGACAGCTGGGAGAAAAGCATGAATTTTATAACAGAGTTTCTTGCTTTGGATTATTAGCAATTTCTGTATTTAAATGATCTGCACAGAAATCATTGCTAATCATAGGTCATTTTCAGAGTAAGAAATATTAAAAGAGTGCTTATTTTAAAATAAAAAAACAAAACAACATATACAATTTCAAGTATGTATAAAATAATATAACAGACAAAACTGATAACACAATAGGACAAAAATTCACACATTAACACATTACTGTATAATGGTTTTACAAAGGATAGATAATCATCTGCACAAACCACACATTACAAACCTGTAGCCAGATTTTTTCAGATCTCAAAAACTATGCAAGTCTGGGCCTGGGTCTGGGTATTTGGATAGGAGATCTCTAAGGAAAATCAGGTTACTGTTATAGGTTGGTGGAACAGTGCCATTCTCGTTTCTGAACTGCATGTTTGTATGTCTGACACAATGATGTAAGCCTCTTGGCTTCCCTGCCAATTTGTTCTCAGTTGACTTATCTAGTTAAATAGAAGATTATAAATACAGAGGACCCTGTGCTATAGGAGGTGCCATCCTTTGGTTAAAATGTAAAACTCAGTGCTTGACTATTTAAAGAGGTCATTAAGGATCCCCTAGCACTATCCATCAAAATAAGGTTGTTAACTCCAGTGTCCTGGCTAAATTCCAATCTAGGCACACTCAATGTGGCCTTCCTAAATATCTCCCTTAATTCAAGCAATTAAGTATTTTTTCTTATTTGCTGTGTTGTCAGGCTGCTAGCACAGAATGGCTTCTATGTGTCATCATAGTAGGTGTTGCACAAGTTTGCCACCTGCTATATATAAGGTGCTTTGGGATTCAAAACGGTACACAAATGCAAGGATGTATTCTTAATTCTCATGAAATTAGTGTTATTTGTTTTTTCTTCTGACCAAAGAAGAGTTCTATGAACTACAGTATGATACAAAAAAAACAAAACAAATTAAATTATCCAGTTATACAATGTTTGGCATTCAAAGGTTAACAACACGATTAATAAAAAGTACAAAAAAATAGGTACCTTATAAAAGGTCTAAAAAAGAATCTTAGATGGGTTCCTTCAGGTACTGTATCAAGGAAGGAATTAAATAGTTCAAAAGGACTATATGCAAGAAGCTTGAGATTTCCCTTCCTTTGAAGTTAAGGCTTGACTTTATACCCAGCATTAAAACCAAAATTATTTGGGAATAATTTATTTGGGAAACCAAAATTAATGCTTTAGATCATGAAAACTCTTCATTCTTTGTAGAAGACCTACTATATAGGAATAGGACCTACTTTCCATTTTCAGGAATTTATGTTCCATCCAATGTAACAACTAAATATAGCACAAAATTATAAAAGCTGGAAGGCTCACATTTACTTTTCCTTGGTTTATCTTGTTTTTATTTAAGGGCTTTTCTGGCCTTATTCTTCTTTAGGGGCCTTTTTAATGACCAGCATTTTTCGTGCTACTGCATATTCTCCCAGAGATTGCTGAACCCACAATGTGATAGTGTTTTTGTGCTAGTTTTGTAGTTGGAACAATTTTCTCAATAATTGTACTGATGATTAATGAACAATGGAGTAAATTAGAAGAAAGAGTGGTCCTGCATACAGGTATGAAGAACTTGAAATCAACGGGCCTAGGGTACATAGGGTTCTGCATTACAGCTTAAGTGATTGATGGAATTGCACGTAATCAGGGCCCTGCTGCAGATTCCAAGGGTATCTGCCAGTTTAAAGTTCACCCCACACTTTCAATAAGACAAGAACAACAAACTTATGACAGACATTGCTCTTGGAAGGTAAATGTTTACTGTTAAAAGATTTTTAATATTTTATTGGCTCCAGCAAATGCTATAATATGTTTACTACTTTTTAAGTACTCTGAGCATTGATTATGCATTTCTTATATATTGTGTCTAAAAGAGTATTGCCAGACATAACCTCAAACACAGCTAATGAGTAGTAATAGACATTTTTATTATTACTACAACAACAGTTTTTAATTCTGTTTTAATGAGTTGACAAAGCTTCAACATTATTGGCATCTTACTAATAACTTACTTAGGTAAGCCTAAGTGTCTATTGATGTGTTTTTGATAAAGATTCAGGGAGCTCTAGAGATTGCAGATTTGAGTCTGGATTTGATCACCGGTCTTCTGTGACCAGGATTCCCCATACAGCAACACACAATTGGCTAAGCGGTGGGAGTAGGAAGCCAGGCCTCAGCAGACACGAGAATCTCTGTGACCCTCTGGGTACTTGCAAGGGTGCGGTGCCATCAGTGAGGTACATGTCTCCAATTAGCACTGACCCTCCTGAACAAGGCTGTGTAGATATGCATGCATTTACTCATTCTCTACCGTGTGTGTTTCTAGGGTCTGTAGTCGTGTTTCTGAACATGAAAATATTGTATTCACAAACCGCTAATCCAATTTGGGTGGGCTTAAAAAAAGAGATTTGGTACTTAATGTCATTCTGAATACATACTGTAGGTAGGATTAATGCAAAAGAAATATATATATATATATTTAGGCACTAAGCTTTTATTACAAAGTTAGATAAAAAGAATATACATTGGAAACATAACACACAGGAGAACATGCATATATTGACATATTCCATGCAGGATTTTCATAGTCCATGATCATTTGCATTGGCAAAGCAGTGGCTATATGGCACAAGATTCTTGAGAACTGCTCAGATGACAGTAGCAAAGAGGAAGATCTGAAGGAGAGGCATGACCTTTAGAGTTGAAAGGTCAGCAAGCACAGCCTGTGTTATGTAAAAAAATGCACAGCACTTAATTTTGCACATCCAGTAAAAACAAAGACATACATTCTATAACAGATCAAATTAAGACTTTCTCAAGGGTTTATGATTAGCAGTTTTCTTATTGCACTGCACATCTTAGACAGTCATGAGTTACACTATATACAGTATAAGCAACAATAATTTTCTCAAAATCCCAACATTTCATATTTATTAATATACAGTATCTGTCTTTGGGTGAGGAGAAGCCAAGTTTGTAATTGATCGCAACAAATCAAGGTTTGCTCTACAAGTTCTGTCAATAAGAAGGGTTGCAGTTATTAATCCTTCACATTTACAGTATCAAACAAATTTACATTATTCATGTGCCATGATGGCGGTCCAAATCCACAAAAATTGGTTTTGTTACTTTGTATGCATCCATGAAGCGGAAAGCCTACTATTTGTACTACAAAGCATAGATCTATCACAATTAAATGTTATCTGAAAACAAAATGCCTACAATTCTGGTAGAAAATCACAAAAGAATTGTGTTTTTGTATAAAGGAGAAAAAAGCACTGAGTAAAAAAGGCAGAACAAATCAAAATGTCTAAGACTGTTTCACAGCAGTGTACAGTATATCAAGAGCCTGATGTTTCTAAGTTCTATAATATCATTTAATCATAAAGTTCAGATGCATATATTTTCTGGGACTTAATCTCAGTGTGCTTAATACAATCATGCTGCAAATATACTGTACCCCTTCTTGGCCTTTTGGTTTAGATTAAATTTAGTGACCTATCATGCTTACAGAAAGAGTCTAATATTTCACCCTGCCCATGCTAAAAATAAAGGCATGTTATGATACCTTTTCCAGTGAACTTGATGGTACATGAGCAAGCAAATAATGTCTGACTGAAGCTTAAAACCTATTAAATGTGATGCCAATATGACACTATGGATTAACTAGTATCTAAAGTTAATGTTTCTGTTACTGTCCATTTTAAATGAGGGGGAACATCTCCAACATTTCAGTGTTAAAAACTTAATATCGTTTTGAGTTCTTTATACTAAAGAAAATGCTATGCATTTGGGTGGATTTGTGACAAGGGTACATCTGTTAAAAAATTAACAATGAGAACGATAATTTCCAAAACTATGGTGACTATATTTTATGACACAATTTTAAATCACATAAAAGATTTTTTATAAATCAAACAAAATTTTCTTTCAACTTAAACTTTAACTAAAAAAATACGAAACTACAACTTTTCATTTGTAAAACCTCCTACAGTATATTGCTTTGTAGTACTAATAAGGCAGAAACATTTAAAAAATATGCAAAATTTGAAATTTGTACGAATAGCCAATCAATTGATCTTTCTCTCGTGTTACTCTTGCTGGAGGAAAATTAAATATTAGATCTAAATTATTTTAAGAATGTGACTAGAATCGTAAAGCTATGTTTTCTGTTTCTTCCATGAAATATAATTTTCTTAAGTAAAATCAATAATATTTTCTGCAGTTTTAATCCTGTGATTTAAGGATTTCAAATGGAAACCTTGAATTTTAAGACATCTGCATATGAAGATTGAATTACTTGGGTTGGCAAGGAGGGAGGTACTATTTCAATCTGTACTTGAGTGTAACAAATACGTACTTCAGCTGCAGCCAGTGATGTCACCTCCATCAGATTCTCTGCGCGGAAAGCAAACACAGCAGCTGCCAGTACTGAAAAATATCATACACAGCATTAAACTGCTGCCTTACTAATCTCCAGTAAATAGCAATTTATACTTGTATAACTTATAATAAACATGTGATGCATTAAAGTGATGCATATTTATATATACTAAGACATCTTGACAAAATGCAAAGTTCTGACTTACTCATTTTCATTATTCTTCCAGCAGCTTGACAAAAATACAAATGTTTCTCCTAGATTTGCAGATATATACATAAAAGCCTCTACCTAGAGCTCAGTAGGAGCTTTATTTCCTGGGAGACTGCTGGTTCAAAACCAGATCAATTCAGTTCAAACAGTTCACTTCACAGACTGCAGTCAGCAGCACAGTGGCACCTGTAAATGGACAGGGTGCCATTGGGATTAAGTACGGAAGAGTACAAGGTGATATTTTTCGAGTTTTGTCCCTCCTCCATCTGGCTCTGCAGCTCTGCCATTCTCACTGCAGTTAGCAGGTGGCAGGGAATGACAATCACCCTAACATGACACTGTGTTAATGTGTCTTTTTCTCCTTGAAGGTCAGTTCAGTTTGAAACACTTAACTTTTTTATTATTATTATTCGTTAGGATATTATGAGCACTTAAAAAAAACAAAATCAAAACAGGTTACTGGTGAAATAATAAAATTGTACTGAAATGAACAGTCTTGCTTTTCTTTAATTACAGTACAAAAACCTGATCAACTAGGTTGCATAATTTACATATCTTAAGTAATCAGGGTTTCCCTCTTTCCACAAATCATACAATTTATATGGTAAAAACCATCAGAGCTAGAAGTGACATAATCTGGCAAATTTAAACACTGTGAAGGACTGTAGTAACTGGTACCTACACTGCAACCTGCTATGGTAAATTCAAGCATAATTTTAAAGACTGCATGCCTTGTGAAGGTATGCTGTCTTTATATGCAGGTACTCTGAAGTATGCATTGATTTCTGTATGTTAAGTGCACAATAATGTTAATGTACAAACTGCATGTGATGTGATTGGAATGCAATATCCTTGATAATGACAAAACATGTTTAAAAGGAGCAAAAGCTTTGCAATTCACCACAGTGACAACATATTTTTAGTTATTTCATTATATATACTGTATAACATTGTATACAGTGTTTAAATTCTACACACCCCTTTCAAAATTTCCACCTTTTGTTGTCTTATACCAAGGAATTAAAATGCATCCTACCACACAACTAGATTGTTTTTTAATTCTTAAAATTAAAAAAAAACTGAAATACATTGATTGGATAAGTGCCGAACCCCCTTGTAAAGGCAACCCTAAATTAGGGTAGTGTAGCCAATCGCCATCAAAATCATACAACAGTTAAACCATAGAGATTCACATGATTGCAAAGTAAATTAAGAAGTTCCTGCTTGTTCTCTCTGCTGGGGAATGCATTTCAAAGAAAACATTAAACCATGAGTTCCAGTGAGCTTAAAAAACACTCTGGAGTTGTGGAATGGCAAAGATCTGAGGTATAAAAATTTCAAAGTCCTTGAATATCCCTTGGAGCATGGTCAAAACAATTTATTAACAATTTATTAATGTCAGGGAACCAATACGTGGAATAGGAGGATCCTTATGCGTGACCGGAATCCCACAGGACACAGAGTAGCAAAGGGACAATCCAAAAGACAAAATCCAAAGGCTGGGTCGATAAGGGAGGCAGAGGGTCCGGTAACGAGAGATATTCAAAACAATTCAAAGGCAAAATCCAGAAGGCGAGGTCAAGAGGCGGAAGCAGAAGATTCGTAACGGGAGATCAGTCAAAAGGTTAGGAAACACGCACTGGAGAATACTAAGGTAGGCTTCTCAATAGTGAGCGTGGGAAGGTGTGCGAAGGGGGTTTAAATACTGAAAGGAAAGGGGTGTGATTGGATGATTGGTTAGGGAGTGAGAATTTGAGGAATCTGATGCATGTGAGAATGTGCTGGGTTCAATCAGGGATGAGATTGGGAAGCAGAGGTTCCGGGAATGTAACGTCATTTGCGAGGGAGAGTGTGGGGCGTGACAATTAAGACTTGGAAGGTATTGCACCACCAACACCCAGCCTAGACCAGACTGCCACTTAATCCATATACAGTCGCAACCCTAAGATAATAACCATTAGAGTCAGAATGCTATTTGGGCCCAAAATATATACAGTATATAAATGCAAGAATAGTGATTTTCATGTGAAGAAAACCATGTTCTTCTGCAATAGTCAAAAAGGTGATTTTGTCTCATCTTTAATTTAACAAGAATGCCAGGCCATTCAGCCTTTGTCATTGTCATTCGCGATTATACATTTTCAACAAAATTATCAACAAAATTAACACTGCTTCAAAATGGAAGACTGATCAGAGAGGCTATGAAGATGGCAACGGCAACTTAGAAAGAGCTACAGGCTTCTGCGGCTAAGACTTCTCAAAGTGCGCATGTGACAACAACATCCCAAGCACTCCAAAGATTTGGCCTGTACGCCTGGATGTGTTTACTGAACAAAAACAGAAATGAAGCATTTAAGCGATACTGCAAACATGTGGCAAAATATTTTATATTTTGACCTGAAGAAGGCTCCACAACCGAAACGTTGTGTTTTCTTTCTTCTCTTTTCAGCATGGAATTAACCTATTACTTGTTCCTTTGCAGCCTACGCATGTTGACGCAGCTACCCACCTAAAATATTTTATGGTCTGATAAAAGTTAAATGGAACTTTTTGGCCTAAATGCAAAGCATTACGCTTGGCCCATACACTAAACAGCACAACATTTAAAGAACACCATCACTACTATGAATCACGGTGGTGTCAGTATTATGTAACAGGGATGATTTTCATCAGCAGGAACTGCGGGGCACTTGTCAGAATAGAAGGAAAAATGAATGGAGCAAAGTACACAAAAGTCACTTAGGAAAACCTGCTGCCCTCTGCAAGAAAGCTGAAACTGAGGTGGAAGTTCACCTTTCAGGATGACAACAACCGGAAAGCACACAGCCAAACCTACACTGGAGTTGCAAAGGAACAAAAAGGTAAATGTCCTTGAGTGAAACTGAGTGAAAATTTCAATCCAATTTGAAAATGTGTGGCTTAATGTAAAAGATTGTTGTCAGTCATCTCTCCCCAAGAAACATGACAGAAGTTGAGCAGTTTTGTAAAGTGGTTCAATTTTGTCAAATCTCGAAGTACAATGTTCTTATTCTAACAGTACATGTTGATATCCTAACAGATTCACAGCTGTAACTGCTGCAAAAGGTGGTTCCCCCAAGTATTAACTCAGGAAGGTTAGGACTTATCCAATTATGATATCTCACTATTGTATTTTTAACATATAACTTTTCCCCAATAAAAAACAGTTTCCCTTTTAAAAATCTGATTTAAATGCATCAAACTCCAAGGCTCTGACACAACAAAATGTGAAAAAGGTCAATGGGGTGTAGATTTTCTACAGGCACTGCATATTAACTATTCTTAGTTAGGCATGTTTAAGAAAGACAGATGCATGAAACCTGTCATCAGTGCAAGCAAACCCAACATTCCTCTGTGTAGCATACGCAGTATCATCCAAGTGTGCACCCACTGAAGGAAGTACAGTACATATGTCTGTTACAATACAATGCAGAAGGGGGTTCATAGTATACACAGTATAATTAGGGGAGACAAAATATGGGTTTATCAAGTGACACCGCCCAACCCTAACTTGGCACACAGTGTTTTTCTTCTCTTTGGCCCCTTAAAGAAGCACCTGCCCAGCAGACAATTTATAACTGACAGCAAAGCAGCAGACACATCCAGAGTTTTACTTTGCCAAATTTGGTGTGTCAGCGTGATACACATTGCTGAAAAGGTCTGGAAACCCTAGAGAAGTGATTTATACCATATTAGACTTGGTTATGGCAGTGCATATACAGTACCAAGCTCTTTTTACTTCATTAATTGAAACACCATCACATTTACCCATCAACTGTAGAATTCTCAAAACTAATACATTACTAGTTATTAATTAATATAAATTAATAATTGTCAAACTACCTGCAAGAATTTCTAGTGAGTTATATCCAAGAATTCTGTCCCACAGGAGCAAAAGCTGATCAGTAGCCAGATATCCTGAAAATGCCCGTACCATCCATTTAAAAGCAATGCGCAACCTGCAAAAGATAATTAATTCAGAACCAGTGAGAAACCAGTCTATAGCCTATATTTGTTACCAGAGTTCAATCCTGAACCCATAGGCTAATTACAGGGAGCACTCCATACATTATCTGATTTTGTTTCAGTGCAATATTTAAACCTAAATCAATTGTTTACAGATCTGAGACACATTAATAATCATCATCATCATCATCATCATCATCATCCATTATTTCAGAGGGAGACAACTACTCTGGTCCTTGAATGACAGGTTCCAGTGTATTTTAGAGGCACCAGTATAAGTTCAGCAGAATGGTCTTTTAATCCACTTTATTTGTTCAATGAAATCATTAAGATCTAGGATGGAATGACAACCAGAAAGAAATGCAACAAGTGACAGGCAGAATAGATTTCATTGCAGAACTGGTTAAACACACACAAATACCTGCTGATAACAGACTAAAAGATGTGTCGTGCTATTTTTAAAGTTTGCATCAATAAAAACATGTAGTTCTTATAGAGCTGAATAAAATGTTTCACACACATAAAGGTGTTTAGCTCAATTGACAATACAATCCAGAAGAGCAAGGAAGCAAGAGCCCTTTAGCCTTCAGTCCAACCATGCTTGTGGTTGGACTGAAGGCTAAAGGGGATGACTGGATCAAGTAAAATTGTGTCTTAAGCTAACTTTTGTCTTATCACATCTTACATCGCACATCAGAGTATGCGCATAAATTAATTTGCACATTATGACCACTAGATGGCGATATAATACTTTAAACCCATCTAAAAAGACAGCCAAATGACAACGTTTAAAGATGCTTTAGAGAAAGTGTAGAAAAATTGGATCTACATACATCATATATACATAAACCATTAGAGAAAAAATTATACAGCCACCAAAGATTGCCCATGTTTAACCATGTTAAGAAAAAAATCTGTAGTATTTTTTAAAGTATAATGTCTACAGTTAAATACTATATCAGTAAATCAAAAACCAACAGAAATAACTTTTAAATAAAATCTTAAGTGAATGTTTTTTCTTTCTTTAGTTAAGCCTACAACACATGTCATGTTTACATTTGAGTACTGGGTTAGCTGAGTGTGTCTTTTTTTAATTCTTACAAATATATACAGTAAAGGAGTTTTCTTCTATCTGATGTTTACGTGGCTGCTGTGCTTTCTGACTTGCATCACAAAAAAAAGAATATAGACTGACTGAAAGCATCCAGTACATGTATGTGTTCACTCTACATCTCTCCAGCAATGTAGTGAGATCCATAGTGGGAAAACCTTTTTCTAAAAAGCTAATTAGCTGTTCTCAATCCTGTGCAAGGGCTGAGAGACAGTCACTGCTCAATAATCACAAAGCTCTTTATGGAGGAATGACATTATTAAATTTTTCTGGCCATTATTAATAAGACTGTTAGAAGTTAACTGGGATTTACAGTGCCATGCGAAAGTATTCGGCCCCCTTGAACTTTTCAACCTTTTGCCACATTTCAGGCTTCAAACATAAAGATATAAATTTTTTATTTTATGTGAAGAATC